CAGTCGTGAGAAGTAATTAACCTAGCAACATTGATCTTCCATGGAAGCACATTCTCTTTTCGTTATAGTGAAATCAGTAATGAAAACTGATGAAGATGCAGCGGCGGATTTAACATCATTGTTGAAGGTGTTGAAGGAGCCGTTAATGGAGATCAATACCTTCGAAACGCTCCTTTGTATATTATTGCAGAATCTTACGGAGGAAAATTCATTGTCAACTCTTGGATCATCGATTTTTAAAACTGTTCATGCTAGAGAAATAAAACTTCAACTAGGAGGTAATCATATAAATTCTATCCGATTTTATTTTAATTTTATAAAATCAAAACACATATACATATGTATATGTTTGCTCCACATTTACCTAAACATATATATATATATATATCTATTATTGTAAAGGACTCAAACATTAACCCAGTTTGCTCCGACAGATTAGCTCTAGATATTCAGCAGCAGCAGCTTGCTAATGGTAAATATGAAGATGCTATTTATACATGGAGTGATCTTGAGGGTGTAATTCTTGACCATAGTAATGGCGGGTTATTAATCTAATTCCGAATTTTTTAAAGTATAATTATTTTATTTGAAATTTAATTCATAGAACTATTAAACTATCAATGATAATTAATTACTATAAACTAGTTAAACATAAACTTTTTTTTATAATATGTTATGTTGAAATTCAATTAATAAAAATAAATATTTTAAGATTTCTACAACTTCATACTTGATCGTATCAATGATCCAGTTAAACTGCAACAACAACAACAACAACAAATATACTAGAATTTATAGAAATTACTATGAATATGTATTAATTTTTTAGTAAGAAGAAGATGAAATCAACTTCTTCATGTGTAAGAGATCTTTACGACTTTATGAATGGACCTATCAAAAACAAATTGCATATTATCCCTCTAAATGTAACGTAGGTATCTAAATATATGTTACTAGTAATAATACATCAACTTATATTTACACAATAGTTATGTCAAATACTATATTATATACATGAACCTTAACTAGTTACATAAGTTTAGGTGGAGAGGACAAGGTCACTCAGTGTTTCCTGCCATGACTGGAGATGAGCTCTTAGCCAACCAAAGGTGTTAATGTCTCTCCATATACAATGGACAAGTAAGTTCTACATCAGTTCAATATGATTTCATTAATTTTAATTAACTGTAATTAATTACTCAAACCATATAATTAAAATTAATCACTGTTTCATTCTAGCTTGATGTCATATTCTCAACCACAGGAGCAGAAGCATGGGTTGAAAAGCTCAAGTAATTATTCCCATTTGATGTACTTTTATTTCTTATATATACACTAAATATAGTACAAAATAGAGTTTTATATTCTATCTGCTATTAAATTATATCTACATGCATAAAATTATATACATACACATTGTATATTTTCAGATGGGATGGGCTGAAAACTTACTTGAGCTTGAATCGTACTCCTTTGTACTGTGAAGGTGACGGTACAACGACAAAAGCATTTAGCAGATCCTATAAAAACTTTTTTTTCTACTGGATTCTTGGAGCTGGTCACTTTGTAAGCATTCATCAACCATATAATAAACTATATATATATATATGTACATATACATATATGTATATTTACATATATCTATGTGTGTGTGTGTGTGTGTGTGGATTCTAATAAATATCGAAATTTTGTAGGTTCCAGTGGATCAACCATGCATTTCTCTACAAATGGTGGGCAATATCACCCAATCACCAAATGTCAAATGCTGAGTGTTCTGATCTGTGATGGTCAACTTTTGACCTTCCTATCGAACTTTCATTATTAGAAACATAAATAAATTTTAAATTTATTTCGTTGTTGTTTTATTCAATCTGTTACTTTAGATTTATATTAAATTTTCATTTTGCACAATCTGTATACTTTATTTGTAATTGTGATTTCTCTGGACCCTCCAAAGAAATATTACATATAAATTGGACATTCCATATCATATATTAATGGGATATATAAAATTTATTGAATAAATCAACCATAAACTAAATTATTCATTTAATTTGAGATTATTCTCTTACTTGTAACGATTCTCCCAAAAATAATCTCCAGAAGACCAACATTTACTAAAAATAATATTATTATTCAGTTTGTACTAAGACATGTATAACTTATAGTTTTGTGTGCAATCTGAATATAAATAATTAAATACATTATTAGTAAATATATAAGAACTATATTAAAAATATAAGATGTGTATAAAATAAAAATTAATTTATAATGGTCCGTGAACTTGAATGAAAATAAATTATGAATTGAATACAGAAGCGAAATAAATAATTAGAGTTTACAATACTTATACAATAATTCAGATTAATCAATAGGGTTACGAGAATGATCATTTTAAAGAAAATAACGAAAATTCAAAGAAATAAATGAAAAATAAACAAATGGGTATCTTACTCGCAACCCTTTTGTGGATTGGACTTTGGACATTGGTCGTCTTGATCTAAAATGATTAATAAAAGAGTGAATTACACTAATCCAGTAAGAATATCACGCTACTCACCGACACAGAAGTGAAGATTGGTAAAAATCATGAAAAACAACTAATGAAACTCTTAATTTAAGTAAATTCGTTTATCATAAATAAAATCATTTACTACATACTTACCATAGCGAGATTTTCAAAACTAACCTATAGAGTCAATAACATAAACAATATCATAATCTCATATGCAATCAGTCGGCATCAACAACTTTCTCTTTTATCAGTCTACTAGTATCCATGAGGGTTCACAGGGATGTTCCCATGACACATGAACCCTTTTATTTTTTATTTTCAATTAACGAACCGTCCTCATACCCCGACTGGTATGAGTGTCAAGATACCATTCCTCAATACTCCGTTCGGCATGAGAGTGAAATGAGCCGTATCCATACCCCGTCCGGTATAAGCACCAAAATATTAATTTTCGATACCCCGTTCGGTATGAGACAACGTTCATGGTAAGGTTTTCTATGTACCCGGTCCATCCACCGTCTCCTAGGATATTCAGTAAGGCTACCGTTTATCCATTTACTTAATCGAACAATTTTCTGTTTACTTTTAATTTCTAGTTTTCCAATTTAATTGTAATCATATTAAACAAGTAATACATGCATCTAGCAAATACAATCGCATCATCGTACCAATTTTAGTGTATTATAATGCATTCGAAACTATAAAATTAATCAATCAGTTAAACACGGTAAACAGTAATAAATAACCAGTTCTGATTCTATTAGTAATATTTAATTATAGATATTTTCTAAATTATACAAAATACCGTATTATTATTAATTAAACTTCAATTCCATAATAGGGAATAAGGTGATGGATTCTTACTCGAATTGGTGTCCGAACGCTAAACTTTTAGTTGTGCTTGTTGGCAGTCCCCGAGTTCCCTGAATTTTCAGTCAGAGATTAAAACACGATATAAGTACTTAAAAATACCCCAACAAACTCAAAATTAGTATTAGAAACCCTTTTTGGCCAATATTGAAATTCCGGCACGACGGCTCCATCATGCTTCGGCGACAGCACCACCGTCCGCGGTGGTGGTTTGGCTTAAGTAGGCCGTTTTCGGCCGATTTTGTACCCATCCATGCGATAAAATACGTTAAGGGAACTCGGTTGGCCGAAAAAAATCGAAAAACCGAAGCTTACCTACGGTAAAGTTTTCTAGTGTGGTGGCTCTGCTGGCTTATCTTTGCGATTGGGTGTTGGCCTTCGGTCAACCTGTAGAGAAAAGAATAGTGATTACAATAGTAAAAAAATTATACGAAATGGGAATCGAGAAGGGCCTCATTGGAAGCGATTTTTTTTTTCTCGCAACGGCGCCGCCTGGTTTTGCCTGCGGTTTTTGGTTCACCCATAGTCTTTTTACTCTTATTTGGCAATGGAGGTGTTCAAAATTGAATTTCGAGCAAACAAATTTTTTTTTACCTCTTTTGGCAGTCCGAAGTGGCTCCAATGCGGCAGCAGACGGTGATCGACTCCCTTCTTAGTGACTTACTCTTCTTCTCCGGCGGGAGAGTCTAGCGGCTAGGGTTAGGATTTGGTGTGAAAAGGGTTATTTATATCCATTTTATTTTAATCTAAGTCGTCCATCGCGTTTGATTTGGACCGTCCGATCGCGTTTACATAGGAAGTGAATTTGGACCGTTTATTGCGATTTGATCTGAACTATCCGATCATGTTTAAATAGGAAGTGGATCTGAACCGTTCATCACAATTTGATTTGAACCATCTGATCGTATTTAAAGGGAGAACGGATCCGAACTGTCCGTGTGTGCGAGAACAAATCTAGACCGTCCGATCGCGGGCATGTGAATCGCCAGCATGACCTCCCGCGTGACATCGTGTCAGCGTGCCTTGTCACGTGGTGCGTTCGGGTTCGTCAGGACTGCTAACTGAGCGTCTTACGTGACACAATTTTCTTAAATTACGTTTTAAACTCTAATTTCTGATTTTTCTTTTAAAAACACTATCGGAATCCAAATTTTCACCATTTTTTCTTAAAATTGTTTTTAATTTCATTTTCCACATATTTTTCTTTATTTTTACATTAAATAAAAATTTAAAAATTAAAAAATTATATTTATATATTAATTTTAATTATATTAAAATTAATTAATAGTTTTACATTACGAAGCTCCGATGATTTCTAATTTCTAAAAGGAATAAATATTAATTTTTAAATTAAAAAAAATAAAAAATAGGCCTCAGGACAAGAGAAGATCCATATGAACGTGGGTCCAATTGGGCCCATTACACATCAAGAAACGGTCTTCCCTTGCGCCTTCTCGGTTTCTTAGAGTTCTTGACATCTCAAAACGGTTCAATTCCCCGTCGTTTCCAGGGATCTTCAGCGAACCTTCATCTCATGTATAATACCCAATCAGACGGCGCCACGTGTACATCCTCATTGAAGCCGGACCAAGCTGTTCTAATAGCACAACCATAATCAGACACAAATCAATATTCCATCTTTCTGGTTGCTTGAGAGGAAAAAGAGTTCAGTATTAATTAATAAGAAAAACACAGGCAACCGTGTTCGATTGTTTTTCCTTCTTCTTTTTTCTTCCCTTTCCCGGCCTGGTGATTCAAAAGTTTAGGGTTTCTATTTTTAATCCGGATTTTCTGCAATTCTAACCGGTCGATCAATAATTTCTTCAAGTTATGTTCAAGTTCTGGTGCGCCCCCTAGACTCCTCTTTCCATGAGTGATTTTGTTTGATTACATTCTGTTGCATAATCGTTTTGTTCCTTCCTTTTGCATAATCGTTTCATTGAATTCGTTGAATTTTTCTGGTGTTTCGGGTTTTAATTTTCTCTACCTGAATTTATGCTGTTTGCTTCTTTAGATCGAGCAGGGTTTGGGTGTTTATGCTGTCCGCACTCTCTTCTTCTGAATTTTGGTTTGTCTGAGTTGAAATCAAGGCTTGTTAAAAAATTTTAAGTTCTACTTTTTTTTTTTGTGTAAGCATAATGTCTCTGGGATATGTGGAATTTCACATTACTTTCAATTAGTAGCTTTGATGATCATATAGCTTGCTTTTTCACCATTTTTTGGGAATTCGCGTATTGCGATACTTATAATCCATATTTAGAACTTTGATGTCATTACTATTGGGTTCGCGTGCTTAATGTGAAACTGAATCGTGTAAACTAGAGGTGGAAGTTGAAGGTGCATTTTTTTCCTTGCCGGAACCTGAAACAGTGTTACAAATGAGGTCTTTTTCTGAGGAACTAATATAATTGAGATCCTATTTGCTTTTTATTCGCTCATTCTAAACTTTGGTAGGTATTTATTTCATTAATTTGTTTCCCATTGTTGATGGTATTTCCTAATAAACGGTTCGTCTGTTGGAGTCCTGGGAGTAGTCAAGGTCATATTGATCCAATTTAAGATTAATATCTGGAGAAATTATTCTGCAGTCCCGGGTTACTGATGGCATATTTAACCCATGAAATTTTATCATTTTGTGAGAAAACTACCAGTATTTTTCTATAAATATCACTGATGATTCCGACAAAATTGAGAGATGACAGAAAACTACTGGTGGCTTTCTAAGGAAAAATCAAATGGATCCAATCGAATTGTAGTCCAACACTATATGATAATTCCTCATATTTTATGAGTTTTGTCTAGAAATAGAATGGATGCAGAAATCTTGACTGTTATTGTGGAACCGAAAGCCATTGCGTTGTTACATGGCTTGCACATTGTTTTGCCCAAAACTCTTGACTCTCAATCATGTTTTCTTTGCAGGGGTTCACAGGAGCAACAAGCCCAACCTCGTCCTCAAGAAGTTTCTTCACAATCTTGGTATCCACCTTCTGTAGCTAGCTCCACAGGATCATCTTCTCGACCTGCAACACCTGGTCAATCCCCATCACATGTTTCACCTTCTGAAGCTGCAGGCATTATTGCCCTTTTGAAGGACAAAAAGTAAGCATATTCTCATGATCTTTTCCTTTTCGTTTGCTGTGGTTTACTGATGCTGTTTTCTTATATCATGGAAGTATTATATACTGCTTTTGTATGCAGAAAGCAATGTTGTGATATTTCTTGATTGCATTTCAGAATTCTGTATTCCATGAATTGCAACAATCTTTTCGTTGATTATGTTTGTTTTCACTTTTTATGCTTCGATGATCACTGGCTCCTTTTAATGTGTGTTTTTTTTTTCTATTTGGAAGTTTTATGAAGTTTATCCACAAAGCAAATATGCCAAAGTACTCCGGTTTCTTTTCTATATGCCTGAAACCGTGTCTCTTTAATGCAGTCATCTTTTGGGTTTCAATTTTGTCTTTTCTGCTTCTTGTTTCACAATGTAACACAATATCTGCATGTTGGTTAGGCTCTCTTAAAATATTCTCTATTTTCACTTTAGACTTTCTGAAAAGTTCCAAAGCATTGATGATGGGTGCCATTTTGCAAAGAGAATTCTTGAGACAAGCTTGTATTGACCTTCTTTGATCTTTTGTAAACTTCAGCTTTATAATGTCACAATTTTGTATATTCTGCTTTGGATGAATAGTTTGTGGAAAAGTATCAATGAATTCTTTTGCTTCTAGTACAAGATATCTTTGTTCATTTATGGTTTTCTCACAATTTCCTTTTTTCTCTTTTTTAATAACTATATAGTGTTGATGAGCTGCGGAAGCTTTTGTCTGACAAGGATGCATACAATCAATTTTTGCTTTCTCTTGACCAAGTTAAGATTCAGAACAATGTAAGTTGCTAACATGCCCCTTCTTATTTCCTTATTCTTTAAAGTTTTATTCTAAAGAATTATTTGTTTTGCTGGCTCTTAAAAGATATATGCTAGATATGTAAATTGAGATTTTACGGTGTACTTGCTTCTTGAACTGTTTGCTGGCCATTGTAGAAACAGGAAATTTATTTTTTACTGGCAATCTCTCTACTTCTTTTGGTACTCTGCAACTTGAGCAACAAGTGGAGGGCTTGTGCATTTTATACTGCCATTTTCCAGTTTGAAATATGCTTGTAATGGTTCTTCATTGGTCCTCTCAGTACTTCAGGTCTTATAGTTCTCATGCTCTGATAATTACTTAGGGGGCAAAAATTTCTTGCTTAGTCATGTGTCCCCTAGCCTGTACAGTTTGGGAGATTGAAGGTCCTTAATCTTGCCTGGGCAGAATGCTTGGAATACCATAATTTTGCATAATCCTAATAGATTTGAAAATATGACCACTTCATAGATTTCCTTTGCCGTATAATTCCTTGGATGAAGAAAAGGGGAACTGACCAATCTCCACCTGGTTCTTTCATGCAAGCACATGCGTTTAGATATAGAGGTACTCAAATAACAGAAGACTGAATCTCATGCATGGGATTGGGAATAGCATATCATGAATTTATAGTTTATTCATTCTTTAATTTTTTGGTGAAACTTAAGAACTTCTTGATATTGTCCCATTGATTCATAATTGATTTGCTGCATGTATATATGAGTCAATCCAGAGTTTACTTTCTGAGGCATTTCATTGTCGCTTATTTTTTTTAATCAGCTTCTGAATAATTGTGTCTACTTTTTGTGATAACTATCACCAGATAAGAGATGAACTTCGCAAGGAAACTTTGCAGCTTGCCAGTGAGTTGTTTCAGCCTTACTTGAGAACATGTACTTGTTTTTGGAAAAAGTAGATTACTCAATTATATTTTTTGTTGAACAGGAGAGAATCTGGAAAAGGAGCCACGCATAATGGAACTTAGAACCCAAGTGGGTGTTGAAGATTGTTTTCATTATTTTTTCAAGGTTCTACATACTGATGGTGAAATCATTTTCTTTATTGATTGGTTCACAGTGCAGAATAATCCGAACAACAGAGTTGGCTGCTGCCCAGGAGAAACTAAATGAGCTCGAAAGGCAAAAAGAAGAGATCTTAAAGTTCTATTCCCCTGTATCCCTTCTCCATAAACTTCAAGGTATGCAAGAGCATAATCCAATGTTATATTTTTAAAGCTAGACATGGTTGACTTGTGGAAACTCATGTGTAGTTCATTGTTCGCAGAGTCAATGAACAAGACTGAAGAGGAATCAGAGGCCTTGCACCGGCAGCTCCTTGATAGGGAGATAGATCTTGGGACTTTTGTACAGAAGTATAAGAAGCTCCGTACAACTTATCACCGAAGAGCTCTGATTCATCTTGCTGCTAAAACATCATCGATTGGGTAGTCCAAGTAGTTTTGCAGAAATAATTCAATGTATACGTGAATATTGAGAATGTTTCTGGATGTTTGTGTATGAAATCCATATAACCAATGCACCTTTTCTTTTTTTATTTTTTATTTTTTATTTTTTGCCTTCTGTTCTGCATACAATTTGGTTATATTTCATGTATGCTCTGATTTTATTTTCTTTCACACTTCTTTTATTTTAGCTTTCTGATCAAACTGATTGTTGCCCATGATGCCATTTCAAATTCCACGTTCATAATATCTTACTTTGGAAATTGAAGATAACATGTGTTTATTAGAGTAAACCAGACACTGTGAATTGATTTAATGGTGAATCGTCCTGGGCATGATGCCTGTTCTCCCAAAGTGAGTTTTCTTCCCTTGCAAGTTCCTTTCTTATGTATCCTTTCGTAATTAAAGCTTGGCTCCCTTTTTTGTCTCTCTCACAACTTCTATTTGCATTTAAGAATGGGTTCGAGAGGACAGTATGTTCCTGAGGAAGGAAACCATAATGAGAAAGCTTTGAATGAAAAGCAAAAAGATAAAGCAGGAGCAGGAGGAGAAGCAACTACAACAGCCTTCAAAACGAAGCTACAGTAAGCATTAAATGAGCAGTTCCTGATAAGCAGAACAACAAACTACAGTATGGAAGAGCCGATTATTCTCACAGAAAATTATAAAAGCTACACGTAAGAACTCTCCATACCAGGTAAAATACTATCATCCAAGGTTATTAATATCATTTGAGACTATTCAGTAAGTCTTAGAAAATATTTGGAAAACCAGTAAAGAGGTCTTCTTTAGACCTTTAGGTAGAAACTCTTTACATATTCATTTGATCATGAAGCTGATAAAAAGAAAATCATAACTAGAAGTACTTTAGGTATAAGAGAGAACGTCATCCAAATCAATGTATAGAGGAGCTTGATTTCAACGAAGCTGCCTTCTAGACTAGAATTAACAAAGAAAATGCCAAAGCCATAGCAAGAAAAAAAAAAAAAGGGAAGTTCTTGGAGATTGAAGTTGCAGGAAAAAGAAAGTCTTTGCGTTACATCATGGTCGAAGTCTTGATTGATATTATGAACCTATTGGCTTCTGGTTATTCCTGGCAAAATCATACAACATCCACTTGAGTGCAACATTGACCATGAAGGTTCAGTATCTATAAATGTGCTGAATGATATTCTTCTTCAACATACATCTTTTACCCTTTTCATAGAAAACAAAAAAAAAACATATTTATGTATTAAAGTAATTTTGATTGATTGAATTTTTTTTTTTGGGTACTTCATAGCTCAGAAAGCATTTTGCTCATCACTATAAATTTGAAGTGTTTAACTTACCATTTATATCTGATCTTCTAGGTTTGAAAAATTATAGTATTTCGTTACAAAAACCCAACATTTAAAAAACTTTAGTTAAAACGAGTTAGACAAGAAAATTAGTTGCTTATCTAATTAAAAGATGTATCTTAGTGAATCAATTTTTAAAAAGAGTATACCGAACAGAAAAATATATATCATAGACTTAAAATTACATGTAAAGAAACAAAAAAAAAAAAGAGAGAGAAGCTTTTTAGACTATAAACTTCAAATTTTAAGCAACATCAACGTGCATTTTATCACAAACTTTCTAATCCAAATATGCTTTAAGCACATTTAACTAAAAAAAAATTTAAACCATACACCATCCTGCCTTCAAAGCTCTCTTCTTAATAATAAAGAAATACATAATCCTGCTCTTGATTTTCAAAAGAAATGCTTTAGAACCTAATACATCCCGACAAGATTACAAGTTAAAGCCATCTATTTGAACTCGATATTGGACATTTTTTTCTTTGATGAATATGACCCATATTTATATATATGTGTGTGTGTGTGTGTGTATATGATATAGATCTTGCTCAAGAACCAAAAGAAAAAGTGACCGATCATCTACATTTTACAAAATATCTATGGTGTAAACATATAACAAGAACATAACTCATTGTTCTGATCCATGTAGCTTTTTCTCATCCTCTTCTATTCGCCTTAATTCTTTTTCCCATTTTAATCCAAACATCTGCCTGCCCAAAGGAACAATCAGATTGTACCGAAAAACCTGCAATAAAATGTCAGACTGTTAAAATAGCTTATAATAGAAGCTTATCGAAAGCATAAACCATTTTAACATGCTCTTAAAAAATTCATAAACTCATATTTACCAGCTTATAAATTTAGCTAAACACCCTCCTAAACAGTACTTTAATTTCATTAAGGGCTCACCTTGTCATTGATATCATGCAACTGAGATTTTAATGCATTCAAACTTTCATCCCACTTGGATTGATCTCCACTGCGCTTACTCAACCATGCTGTCTTTAGAGCCTTCCGCCATTCAGAAGCTTTGTTCCTGATCTCCTTGTTCAACTCAACCCACTCTGGTGCACATCCATTCTTGGAAAGAATTCTGTACAATGTGTCCTCCGCTGGGTCTACATGAGGATTAGTTCCGAGGTTCAATGGTTTGCCCTTTCCTGGTAGGTTCTCAAACTGTCCTTCCTCCATGGAGTGCCATATTCTTTGTTCAACAACGCTGATAATATCAGTTTCTGACCTATGTGATCACAATGGACATCAAATGTCAGGATTGTCAGTCAACAAGTACGGCAGGTACTGGTCCAATGCTGAAGACACAGCTTATACCCTCTAAACTTAAATCCAATGCGGTTGAAACTTGTCATATAACAACACGCTTAAACAAAAGATAAAATTAAGCCCTAGAGTATTGTTGCTACTAACCGTACCAAAGAAACTGCAAATGATTAAGATCAATGACAAGGAAAGATTAGAGAAGAAGGTACTGAGCTTAAACCACTCACCAGGAAAAATAAATAACAGTATGTTCGTTTTCTCCTTCCAACATAATGAATGAACAGATTCTAGCCATTTAGGCCACATGAGCCATCAAACCCCTTCGTATGAGACTCAAATGCTCCTGTGCTTCCTTAGAGGTTGACCCAGTAAATAATTTAACCTCAGCTTTTTGAATCCTGCTGTATTTTATGAGTACCTTACTCCACAAGTAGAAATCCCCATTGCCTTTTGAATTGAGATGCCCCGCAATTTGGTTGGGGAGCCTTCTCACTACCTAACCTCAGCCAATTAACTAACTTCATGTCTTTCTTTGAATTGAAATGCCAAGCAAATTGTTTGCAGTTACCTAACCTCCACAGACCAACTAACTATAAGAAGATGTGGTTATAAGAAAAAGAGATGAAGGGTATTCGGTAAGTGGGATAAATCGTGAAATCACACAATAGGGGAATCAGCCCTCACTCTAGATGTTCGTAATGAGCAGGCAGCAGGATGATTTTTTGTTCTGGAGTCTTTGAAGGTTGCTTTTGGTTCAACTCCCATTAAATTCCTAGCTCTAGATCTTCATAATGAGCAGGCTGCAGGAGAATTTTTGTTCTAGAGTTTTGAAGGCTGCTCTTGGTTCAACTCCCATTCAATCCCTAGCTCTAATTGAAAATTACAGTCCGTAGAGGAGTCAGAGCTCGACTAGCACAATCTTGGAAACTAACCAAACCCTCAAACAGCTAATTCTCAGGATTCTATTGACCAGATGGTTAAGATGGTTCCTTCATTTTATTCTTTCTCTGGAAAAAAACCATAAAAATTGTAGGAAATGCTAATAAACTATTAGAAAAATCCCAATTCTAAGGTTCGGATTGAACTAATATTCAATTTCAATGTGACCCAATCAATTTAAGAGGTCATAGTATATCAATTTTAAACACATACTAACCTGACGTTGTTGCGTTGACCACGGAGCTCGGGAGGCAGCTTCCGGTCATTGACGGCATCTATCACAGCAGACAGACGCTCAGTCATCTTCTTCTCGTGCTTCAAAGATGATACCGATGATGATGATGATGAAGAAGAAGAAGAAGAAGAAGAAGAAGAAGAAGACGAAGCCCACCTAGGTTTGGACGCGCCATGGCCCGCCACCGGAGACGATATGTCGGTCTTTGATCTCTGAATCACCGACCCGAGAGCCAAGAACGACGATGAAGAGGGAGATTTTCTCGCAAGATGAGCCGTAGCCATGGAAGAGCCGAACCGCAGCTCCCAAACTCGAGTGGAGAGAGGGTTCTGGTCCGAGCCTGTAGGCAACCCGTGGGAATCTACCTTATGGCCATCACGTTGTGCCACGTTGATCAAACACGTGTCAGTTGTACATCGAGCAACGTGGTTTTTGAGATGCGGTCATCTCGCCTGTCTGAATTTTCTTGGAGCCATATATAGATTATTTTAATAAAAAATAATAAAGTATTATTAGGTTGCGTTGGTTTTAAAGTAATTTTATTTTTCATTCTTTCAATTTTAATTATTAATTATCCAACACCTTATATAGCCCAAACTAACAACAATTATATTCGCAACAAAATTACAGGAATTGAAAATAAAAACTGTTTGCCCAAGATTACAAAACAGTAATTAAACTGCCCAAAAAAAAAGTTGGAATAGAGTTTAATCAGACCCAGTTATATCTGGTTTTTCACACATGGGAGAAGTGTAATAAAAAGGGCCAATCATATAATTAATCACATCCCGGTAAATGGCGGTGGGTCTGAGCAGCTTTACTCCATATTGGCCGCCCCCGAAGTTGGTCATAACATTGCAAGTCGGGTCGGGTGAGTAAAGGAGCCTTGCGAAGCAGAAATTAGGATCGGTATACTTGTCGACGGTCAAATCGAACTGCCCTTCTTCGTCGGTTTCGTCACTTCCGTAGTACATCACTCTCTTTCTCTGGTCCATGCAAGTTAAACTCACCCTGCAACCTGAATCCCGACCATAATCACCATCACTCAAATTTGAATTTTATTTGTTGTATTTTCATCAAATATAAGAACACATAAAATCTTATTTAAAAGTGGAGGAGGAGGAGGAGAAGTGAGGTAAGGGGATAATGACCTTTGATTGGTTTGGCTCCATGGATCCATTCGTTATAGGACTGTGAACAGTCCTGACACAGAACCTTCCCCGTAACGTGTATGACCTGATTGGGCTCAGTCAAGCTCATAGCATAAACGTAATTGCAGCAATGCAACACAAGACTTGCTGCAACTAACATCACTAGCTTGCCCGCCATGTTGATGATCTCTCTCTGTTTGCCAAACTCGCACAAATCGACGATGAACACCTTTCTTTCTGAATATATACATATATATATATATATATATATATATATAACAATTCTGTTTACCCACATATATGTGTGTGTGTGTGTGTGTGTGACAAAGACGTGGAAGGCCACTAACTAAAATACGTGCTATCCATCTCCCTTTAATTAATATATAAAAGGTAAGGCCCACGATCATGGAGATTTCTTTTATGGTCTTCATGTACTATTATTATTTTATAATTTCATAACTGTTTACCCCAAATTTACGTCTTTTTCCTAATTATACTAATAATGCAATCGAATTCTATCAACTATATCTATTTTATTTCAAATCACATATATAATAATTTTTAATAATTTATTTAAAATATCATAATTTATTTTTAAATAAATACAAATTTAATATTTATTTGTTCTCAAAAAAAAAAAAAAAAAAACGGAAAATACCTGTAGTTTTAAGTCACAAAATTTTCTTGTAATTATGACATTTTTTTTTCTACCAAAAAAACTCAGAAAATTTTTGATCATATTCCCACTAAATACTGAAATTTTTGCAAACTTGAGAAACAATATCCATTTGCATAAGTTGACGTTTGATCTATTTATAATTTTAATTTTTCTATTGATCATAATATATATATATATATAATTAGGAAATAAATTGAAGTCATGTTAACACCACAGCTGAGAATGTTTTGATGGCAAAAATTCAATTGGATTCCACAAATATAACGTATTATTCACTAATACCTAAATTCAATTTCTTACCAATCTCACATGTCAACCAAGCTACATTCCCTCACTCCAAATTTTTCATCCCCTATTTCTCAAAAACAATTCATAACAACTATAGAACTCCACAGAATTTAACAACATATTATAACTTTCATCAATACGAGGCCATAGAAGCAAATCACTATCATTATAGCAAACCCGCTGATCTCAGAGCCTCCTTAAAGTCCTCCTCGCTGTCCCAATGCCTCACCTGCAACCACCATGGCAGTATCAAGAGCCAAGATCATCATAAGTTGCCATCAGCACTCAGACATCCTTGCACCAATGTGCTCATTAAAAAAATAACACTCATGTGTTAAGGGTTTAGGAGATCACCTCAGTTATTTGAGTTCCGAAATACTTCTCTATTTTTCCCATGATCAACTGGTCGTTATCATCCATCAACAAGTTAAATACAGCTCCTGTAGGACCAAAAAATTCACAGGCAATTCACAATTCCATCAACAAATAAAACATCACTCCTGCAGGATCATAATAAAGGATACTACTAGTTCTCAATTATGACATCATATTCCTCATTCTTCCCCAACAGAGATGTAGAGATCCAAAAAAAAAAAAAAAAAAAAATCTCAAATTGCACTAAGCAGTTCTCTGAGACTATCACATCCACAGCCAAAAATAATCAACTTTGGGATGACTCATTGCTACCAATAACTAGTCATTAATCAAGCTAATTCGTCCACAACATTTGTTGAAAGCTACTAGAAAATACAAATTGCTATTTTTTATGCATAAACTCACCTTTGCGGCCAAAACGCCCTGCTCTACCAACCCTGTGTAAGTACACCTCATAGTCGGGCTCTGTCCGATTTGTATGTTTCACTGGAAGATCAAAATTGATCACCAAATTCACCTACATCATGACCAGATCAAATTATTACAAATCTGAAGCACTACCCAAGTAGACAAATTACTACGAAAAGAAATTCAGGATAATGTGAAAGAAAAACCTGTTGTTGGTCAAAGCCTCGAGCCAGAACATCAGTTGCTATAAGAACTTGGGTCAAACCGTCTTTGAATTCTTTGACTATCTTATCCCTTTCTTCTTGATTGAGACTACCATGAATTGTAGTAACTTCATATCCTAGATCAACTAGAGCCTTATGCAACATGCTTGCATTCCGTTTTGATCTAACAAAAATTATAGTCTGTCCCAGATTTTCCCCTAGTTCCATAATTCTGTCCTTAATAACCATAATCTTAGTCAATTCCTCTGGACAATACACCTTGTACTGCTTTACTGATTCTAATGATAATTCCTCCTTCTTTACAAAAAGTTGATTGTAGTCTTTTTTTACTATCCTTGAAGCAAAATCCTTGACAAGCTCGTTAAATGTTGCAGAAAAAAGGAGGACCTGGAAACAAGTTAGAAATTTGAACAGATCGGAAAAAAAAAAAACAAGTTTCAGATTGAGAATAGCATCCCAAGTTAACAACCTAAGATAAATGAGCATCATCCAGATGCAGGAAAGAAATAAAGAATCTGAACTCAATTACCATGCTGATCAAGGATGATGAGCAAGCAGCAGGCAGATGAATAATGAAATGGAAAGAAAGGAGCACTATCTGGGAGAAAGTGCTACCATGCCCAACTAATGCATCAAAAAGAAAAACTAATATAAATAATTGCTCTCCCATTCTAACAGATGAGCATTTTCCGTTATAATTTTTTGTCCATGTGTTTTTGAAGAATTTTCACACAAAGCTGAAGAAGTCTAATCAGTAACAGTATGGTTTCAAAAATTACCAGCTAGTATTAACAGATTTTCCAGTTTGACAAAGGAGAACTAAAAACAAATATTACAGAACTCAAACCTCGGCAACAAGAAAAAAATATATAACCACGAAGAAAAGCTCAATAATAACACATAGCATAATCTTAGTTTAACAAACCTGGCAGTGAGAATTAACTTTTTCAATACTTTTCATTATCTTCAACGAATCATCTCTAAAACCATCCTGCAGTAAAATAAATTTGAAAGAGCAATGAGTTCTCTTCTATAACTAAAAAGATAGCATATTCACAAGGCAGAAAAAGTGTGATGAAGCACACACATCATGTTATTTTTCCCTTCTTAAGTGGATGGTAAGGAGCAAAAGAATAATGAAACAAACGCATCATTCTCAAATACAAGCGGGAACTGAACATGGATAACAGCGAAAACCATTTTTACGTTCAATATAAAAAAAAACACTAAGAACCAACCATACTTTCAGCAAAAATAAATTTAACCCGTAAAATTTGTACCCTCAAAATATGGAATTTAAGAACTAGCAAACATTAGTTGGATATAGAAACAACAAGCAGATGCTGCTGAGTTGAGAATTTAAGCTACAAGGACTAAGGAAGCAACACATCACGTAAAATATGAGATGAATTAAATGCTTGTATGCCACTGAATATTTATTTCTCTAATCAGAAATATATGAACAAAAGAAGTAACAAATTTACCGCAGCCAGCATGTGGTCAGCCTCATCAAAAACAAGGATCTTCAAGAAGCTCACACCTAGTTTCTTAAATGAAATCCATTTCAAGATTGTGCCAGGCGTCCCAATCACTACTTGTGCCAGCACTGGTGCCCGTTTTGCTGTTGGCGTCTCTCTGCTCATCACTGTTGGGACAGCACATTCAGCAGTTATCCCAGTGTACTTCCCCATCTTCTGAAGAACTTCCATATTCTGCACACAATTCATTCAATAGATCAAACTTCTTTACTAAATTTCAAAGCAATCTACCTAGTGTTTTATTTATAAGTAAAAAGGAAGAAAGCAGGCTAAAAATAACCTGGATTGCTAACTCTCTTGTGGGACAAATGCAGAGAGCTTGTGGAGCCTTAAATTTTGGGTCAACACGACTCAACATACCAAGCACAAAACAAGTTGTCTTCCCAGACCCGTTGTGTGCCTGAGCTATCAAATCCTTGTTCGGAGGTGTCAATATCATGGGCAAACTGACAGCTTGAATCTTGCTAGGCTTCTGGAATTTCATCTCGACGTATAAACCTTTCAATAGTTCTGGTGTCAAATTCAAATCTTCAAAACTACTAGCTGACGTGTAAGGAGTTTCTCCCGAAGTAACCTACATCAAGTTACAAAGGCAACCAATCAAAACCTGCGACCAAATCCCAACCCTCGGACTGACCAGCCCAAACTTGCAATATCAATCTCAGCTCCTCTTCAACTACATGATGTCAAATTAAAGTGATAACAAATTGAACAAGTTAACTCACTAAAGGTTCACTTCATCCTATTCCCATCTATCCATATTTTCTGCTTCTTCGAATGTCTCGGCAGAAGATAAAAAAAAAAAAAAAGCCAATAATCATTTTAACTGCCTAGAAAACTATAAATAAATAGATTTATTTTAATGATTCTCAATTTGCCAAACAAAAAACCTGCATATAAATACTTCACGTGATTGTTTTTCCACAAAAAAAAACCCTAATCTTTTTATTTAGTAAGTATTCTTACAATACAGCAATATTTGAAATCTGGATTGCAGTTTGAAGCTTTAATGAGGCTCCTCACAAAACCACAGCATAAAAGACGCTAATTCTATTAAATGCCAAATAAAAAAGAAACCTAAAAGGGAGAAAACATTTGTCAGCGTGGGAGAGATCCAGATAGAGAGATCTTACGGCTCGGATGTTGGAGTCTTCGGGTTCGTCGAGGAACTTGTTGGTCTTCTCATCAATGGATAATGCATCCACGTTAAGCTCCGCCACGGTTTTCCCCTCGGAGGAAGAACTTGGCTCTTCAGGAACGTCGTCTTCCTCGTCGGCCCACCGCTTTGGCTCCGCCGCTTTCGGCTTGCTCGCTGATTCCGCGGCGGCACTGGTGGTCGCTGTGGCCACAGTGTCGGCGGCGTCAGCCATAGAGGACGATCTGTAAGGACTAAAGACTGAAGGCAGAGAGAGAAAGAAAATGGAGGAGAAAACTGAGAAATTACACCAAAGAGGGAAATGTTGGAATTTTCTGGAGGTCACGAATAGTAGTCTACATTATTTATAGCGTCCGGTTTTAACCGCCTTATTTGATGGATACTCCGGGTAAATTAGCGTGGTAGCAACGCAGTGCCTGCTTACTATTGACGCCGGCTAGAAAAAAAAAATTACCGCTGCGGTTAAATCTCGTCAAAGTTTAACTATAAAGTTTTATAATTACTAATTTACCCTTCCCTTGAATAAGTTATTACATGTCCGGATCATATAAGTTATGCATATGTTTTGGTCTTTGTGATGGCCCGGCCCATCATTTCTTTTTGTTTAATTTTGTTTTATTTAATTAATATATTTGTTGTACATGGAATAAGCTGTAATTAGAAACAAAATTATTGACTTTTGTTGTCCTTAAAAACATATATATATATATATATATAAAATATGCATAATATCGTGTACGTTAATGGTATGTCTTTATTAATTTCCGTGACATAAACCAAATCTTGGTTGCTTAAATTTCTAGAAAACCTACCTAATTAATTTAGCCTAAACAAAAAATTAATATCATAAACCCACCTCTTAAGTCGCCTTTTTGCCTTCTACCTGTTAATATTATACTACCTAATTAATTAATACGACGTCAAAGATCCAGCATGATCTGGTTCTGCGACGACGTTTAATGTTGTCCCGGCAACCCGAGCAAATCCCTTTCAATTGGTGGGTGAGCTGGGAATTGTTGGGTTCGCGTATTCACCCCCGATCTGTCGTCAAAGACGGCGGGCTCCCTACGTTGACGTCTTCAGGATTTTAGATTCAGGAACAGAAATTCTGCACTCCTCTGTGCCTGTGCGGAGTATTATTATTTCTTAAATATCAATTTTTTTTAAAAAAAAATGTGAAAATGAAAATAAAAATTCATGATATTTAAATATTTAAAATTACGTCTTTATCCTCCCAAAGTCTAACGAAGAATTTCTTTATTTCCTAAAGTTTCATTTTAAAAAAAAAAAATAAATAAATTTGCTTGCTTGTTTCAATGAATATGCTTAAATTTGGGTAATTGCTTGACTAAGTCTTCAATTCTTAAGCTTGACAAATGTGGGGATTAATTGATTTTAAGGTTTATAAAGGCAATTATCTTTATATATATATATATATACATATAAGTTGTGAAGTGAAATTATTTGGACATTTTCTTAGTTAAGAAGGCACCAACCAACACAGTAGTTTATTGATTCTCTATATTTCTTGTTGGGTGACTTTTTTGAAAATAACTTTTGCTCTTCTTTTTATTTTTATTTTTTTCCTTTTTTCTTTTTGTTAATGAAGTGGGTATTATTAAATTAAACTATTTTACTTTACCCAAAATACACTCTCTATTTGTGTTTTTTAATTAGTTAAAAAAAACAATTTAAGATTTAACCCGTTGGTCAATTGAAATCGATATTTAATTAATTACTTTTAATCTAACCAGGTTCATTGGCAATAAAACAAAAAAAAAAAAAGGAAGGGTAATTTCGACTTTTCCCCTCATACACTCAGGATAAAAGACCTGACAACCTTCTTTCTTAAACTGCTTAATCAACCAGAGTTTAGCATTAATTCACTCTTCAAAAATTTTAGCGCAACTTTTCTTGCTAATCATCTTTCTCTCTCTCTCTCTCTCTCTCTCTCTCTCTCTCTCTCTGTGCGGGAATTCATTTCTTTTAGTTGTCGCTCCTCAATGCGCAGATTCAAGCGACCTATCTTGGGTTTCTTTCCGTATCTTTATCTGGTTTATCTCTGAGCCGAGCTCAGAAGTCACGAAAAGCTCCGGAATGCGGCCTGCGGGTCTTCTGATCCTGGCCTTTGCGGCAGTGCTAGTACCGGTGTCGCTAGTCTTCTGTGCTTTCCCGTCGACTGTTATCCCTCTGGAGAGAGCTTTTCCTCTTAACCAGCGGGTGGAGTTGAGTGAACTCAGAGCTAGGGACCGAATCAGGCACGCAAGAATCTTGCAGGGTGTGATGGGTGGTGTAGTCGACTTCTCCGTCGAAGGTTCATCCGATCTCTTCCTCGTCGGGTAAATTGGTTTTATGGTTTTTCTTCTTCTGCCAGATTTTAGAGTCTTGTAAACGGTTTTTCTAGTCTTGTTGCGCAAGATTCTGGTTTTGATTGTTGATGCTAACTTACTGTTTCTTTTTAATCCGAATTCATTTTCTTGTTCTTGTTTCACGACATGGGGTGTTTGAACTTGGTAAGGACAGCGTTCCTGGCTCTTCTTGATTAATATTGTTTCTGTTTCTTTTCTTCTGGCTAAGACATTTATCGTTCACTTTTGTGTATGGGTGATTTAATCATCCATGTTTCTTGCCGTTCTTTTTTATTTTTGAGAAGTTTGATGGATAATGAACAGAAAGAGAAGGAATGATTCTAATAATTTGCTTTATTTTGGCAAAGAAGAGAGATTACTTATTTTCTTCCATTTTCTTTGCAACTGAGGAAGATATGTTGTTTGAGAATCGAAGGATTCTTATTTGAATTGCAAAACAAACTAGTCCTTTATATTCTTCATATCACCTTAAGATTTTTAGATGATTTATTTATTTTATTATTTAAGTTAGAGTTACTGTGTTCAAACTTCGATAACCTCGTTCCTTCTTATTATTTATACATTTGTTCTTTTTAATTCAAGATAAGATTGATAGATTATTTTTTGTTTAGGCTTTATTTTACAAAAGTGAAGCTGGGCTCTCCTCCTAGAGAATTCAACGTTCAGATTGATACTGGGAGTGACATCTTGTGGGTTACCTGCAGTTCTTGTAGTGACTGTCCCAAATCCAGTGGACTTGGAGTAATTACTTTATACTTCACTGTTTCAAAAGAATTAATTTATAATAGAATGGGCATTCTTACTGTGAGTTTGAGTTTTTGTGTGTGTCTCAGGTTGAGCTCCACTTCTTTGACACTGCCAGTTCATCAACTGCTGGATTGGTATCGTGTTCGGACCCAGTATGTGATTCTCGAATTCAAACCACTGCAACTCAATGCTTTCCTCAGAGCAACCAGTGTGGTTATTCTTTCCAATATGGTGATGGAAGTGGGACATCAGGATATTATGTAACCGACAAATTGTACTTTGATGCAATTCTAGGACAGTCAGTGGTTGCTAACTCTTCGGCTTTTATTGTTTTTGGGTGAGTTTCTACAATCTATACAATGATGAACTACGTGAATATGATAAGGATTCTAGAATCAAAGTCAAGGTTCAATGGATTCTCTTATTAGATCTAAAAACAGAAGACCTCTTATCAGCAATGCTGTTGTTTGATTTGAATTCCAGTTACAAAAAAAAACTCGAAAATATTTTGAAATTGGATGAAATAACTGTATCAAAATTAATTTGCTGTTTTACTTCCAAAAAAAAAAAAAACTTTCTGTCAGTTTGGGACTTATATTTTCCATCAACATTAATATATATTACTAGTTCTTTTCTACATATATATATATGTATATTGTGGTGGGCTAATGTTTGCTATTATGGAAGTGGATAAACAATACAAGAATCATTCTTAGTTGATTGTCAGCGTCAGATGGACTGTTACTAGTGTTAGGAAGAGAAAAAAAAAAGCAGAGGACCTTATGGCAAATTAGGAAATATAGGGAGGGTGTTGCAAATACCTCTCTGGTCTATCACCTGCCTTTCTTTGATTCTTCAATTTTCTTTACCTAGCATCATATTTATTGATTTGGTGTTCTTTGTTTTTTTGTTTCCTTTTAGCTACTTGAATCTTTTGCTCTTAATGTTGTCTTCTTAACAGATGTAGTAATTATCAGTCTGGAGACTTGACTAAAACAGACAAAGCTGTGGACGGGATATTTGGATTTGGCCAAGGAGCCCTTTCTGTTATCTCACAATTGTCAGCACGAGGGATAACACCTCGGGTATTCTCTCACTGCTTGAAAGGAGCAGATAGTGGAGGAGGCATATTGGTCCTTGGTGAAATATTGGAGCCAAGTCTTGTTTACAGTCCACTTGTCCCATCACAGTATGTGCTCTTCACTTTGCTTGCACTTTTACTCTGGAAATGCAAGAGTCGGTCAATCTTCTTTCCCATTTTTCTGTGTCCTAGACAAGGTCAAAACTTGTAAGTCCACCGCTAGGCTTCCTCGCAAGCTGAGGTATTGTCACCTATATGTTTGAATTCTTCTTTTAAGGCTAGGGTTCATTGGTCTTCCCCCTGTTGGATGAATGGTTTTTGGTGTAGCTTTTTGACTTGATCACATTTCATGGACAGGATGATTTTCTCAAGCCTTTTTGGCCATAAGACGAATGTTCTTACCTTGTTTCTGCAGGCCTCAAATTTATTATGTTTATGTTATAAATTAATTTTTAGACACTATTAATGTCTTTTTTTGGGTCATTTTATGTTGGTGTAGTTGTTGTGGAAATTGCTGTAGCCAACCCCAGTGGCGCTACTGCCTCTGTTGGTTTTTTACTGCTTTGGGCTTGATCTTGATTTACATGCCCTTGTGGCGATCAAATGGACAAGTTGGTAACGAAAGTCTTATATTCTTGTTACAAAGACAGGCTTCTTTATGAATCTAAAGATCTAGTGGCACATCAGAGAACATAACTTTTGATTATGGCTTTACACTTTTGTCAGTGGATCCTGGTTAAAATACTGAAATTGAAACGTCTAAAGCCTGCAAATAAGACCTTTTTAGTATGTTTGCTCAACTAGATCTTTTATATAGTTTTGTGCTGTTTTCACCGAACAATAGAATTATTATAAGTTTCAGATCTGTTCTATTTTTGCTTGATTTCTGTTTTTTTATAAATATTGTGATACAATTTGAAATCTTATTGAAAACAAAATCTGCTTTTTCTGTTAAACAAGAATTTTTTATTGCAATAAGTTTGACTGTTCCAAATTAAAAAAATTTCAGGCCACATTATAACTTAAATCTACAGAGTATTGCTGTTAATGGACAATTGTTGCCAATCAACCCAGCAGCATTTGCAACATCTAATAACCGTGGGACTATTATTGACACTGGAACAACTTTGGCATATCTTGTCGAGGAGGCTTATGATCCATTTATAAGTGCTGTAAGTTCAATTCTTCTTTGAATTACTTTACTAATTTTTATAGGGTATATTATGACATGGATTTGATTCATTTTTCTAACCTTTCTGACATAGCATCCTTTTAAGCATTACATTTTCTAGTTGTAACAAACTCTTTCCTGATCTTGTGGTAACATTATTTGTTTCTTTCTTGTGCAGATCACGGCCAGTGTTTCCCAATTAGTAACACCTACAATTTCTAAAGGATACCAATGTTATCTAGTACCATCAAGGTTCTTTCTTGACACTGCAACTTTTTTCTATATGTTACCGTCTAGAATTTACATTTTTCTGAAAAGGGTTTCACGTCTTTAGTTTTCTCCTTTTCCTTGATATCTGATGAGGATTCTTTTCATTTTTGTTCAGCATAGAGATATTTCCCCCAGTGAGTCTAAATTTTGCTGGAGGTGCTTCCATGGTATTAAAACCGGAAGAGTATCTTATACATCTTGGTTTCTATGTAAGTTATTCCTCTTGCTGATATGATAAATTGTACGGTAGCCCAAATTTGAAATAAAATAATAAACTTCTTGGAGTTCGTGGGCAACTTTTTTTTCACAGGATGGTGCTGCACTATGGTGCATCGGCTTTGAGAAAATTCAGGGAGGAGTAACAATTTTAGGAGGTTAGATACTGATTTATTTTGTACTTGCACTAGTTAATTATATGTCCATTAATATAAACATCATATATATATATATGTATTAATTATGTGCATGCATTTCCATGTTTTGGGGACTGGGAAGAGAGGTCAGGTTGTTCGAGGGTGGAAGAAGTTCAAATTTCGTGGTTCAAAATATATTTAACCAAAGTTCGTAGAATAGTTTTCTATGTTCCTGTCTCCTCTGTAACTATCTGCTTGCTTTTGCTATCTATAATTGATATTTTAAAATATAACCTGTAAAGAGAAGATTGGCATGTGACATCAAGCTAGCAGAGATAGTATTTTCGGATTTCTTCTCTATTCAAAATGTATATCAGTCATTTTTTCTACATTTATGTCTTTTTCTAGGTGTTGTTACCATTTTCCCTTTTTCTCCCCTATAATTCTTGACCAAACAGACAAGGAAACAAAGCTAAAAGGTAAAGCTTGGTATGAAGGGTGGTAGTCTGTGTTTTGTGATGACAGGAAAAGCCACTGCATTTGAGGTTATAAACCTAGTATGCATGGCTCTAACCTGCTCAGTGGGCTTAGATATCCTTTGTGGAGGTAATTAAAACCAATAGTTTTAAGACATGCCCCCTTTAGCCATAATATGGGTCATGTCACCTCTCTTTCTTTCGAAGGAAGAAGATTTGCAAACAACGTTGAAGTTAGTATGGCAAGTATTCAAAAGTTAGAGCCGAGTAATCAGGAGACGATGTTGCCCAATGCATGGTTTTCAGTTGCCTAATAATTGTCGCCGAAGTTGAATAATTGAAGATGAGATGCATTAGGATTAACTGTCAAAATTTATATATAACCATTGTGCATGTGGCATCCATGATTTCAAATGCCAAAGCAGTTAATGACTTGCCTGTTTGTCAACTTACTAATCATATTTTCTGATTTGCAGACCTTGTCCTAAAGGATAAGATCTTTGTGTATGATCTTGCCCGGCAACGAATAGGATGGGCCAACTATGACTGTAAGTTCCGACTCATAAGGAAAATACATGACCAATTTTCTAGTGAAATCCTTTCCTCCCATGTGAAAACAAATTCTGACACAATGTTGAAATTGAAACTTTCAGGTTCATTGTCTGTAAATGTTTCCGTAACATCTGGTAAAGACCAGTTTATGAATGAAGGACAGCTTAGTGTAAACAACTCATCAGGAGATGTCTCTCTGAAGCTACTATTCGTTACCATGATGGCCATCCTTATGCACCTGTTGGTTTGCATGGAGTTGTACTTTTTGTAACTTAAGCAACAGGTTTCTAAAATCCATTCTTTTTCAAATGTCAATTTGTTGGGCCGATCTTTTATTTATGGTGATCGGCAAAACCTTCACTCCAGCCAGAGCTGCAAAGGCTGCCTGTTTCTGCAGTGTATGATTCTTTCCCGGTCCAGACTCCTCGATATTGAGCATTCTTCTGTTCTTCTAATGGGGTTGCACATTGTAAAAGCTCCCTCCCTATCGGTATAACTTGTAAATTTTACTCTACATTGGACTTGGGTGTTGTAGCATTAATATCATCAGTTGGTTAAATGTGAAGGAAAGCCATTGAAAGCTTAAAAAGCTGTAAGTGTAGTTACTGCTTCTGGTTAGGCAGAGATGTAGAAATGATATGAAATGATATCTTGTGGGTGTTATTGCTGGTTGATTTTGTAAGACTTATTTCCAGCAATAATTGAGATAGTACTCAGTTTTGCCTGCTTTCTTTTTCCCTTTTGTGATGTGCTCTGCTGATCTTCAATTTGCACTAAGCTGTTTTTGTTATTGTTCGTGTAATAATTAAGGAAGCAGACAGGTATCCTATACTATATCTAAATATATATATATATATGTAATGCCTTATGAAATCATTTATATGCTTCCGTACGTGTAAATCAGTTGGGATGAGTCGGATTATTCTAGTGCTTAGTGACTAGAATCTGGATTGGCAAACCCACTTACAAGATTCATTACCTTGCTTTATTGTGTTTGATTTGACGGTTTTGCTTGTTTAAGCTTTTTCATGTTCTGCTACTTTTGCTTTTACTTAATTAAATCATCAATTTAATCAAATGCCACACTGACATAATCTTTTTAATTAATGTTTAATTGAGACAAAAAGGATAAATACTACATAACCCAAAAATCTAGTGTCGTTTTACATGCTTTAAAGCAGTCGTTTTGGATCGTGACCCTATTTCCTCTTCTATACGAGTGTGCAATTGTGCGCGTGGCATCAACTTCACCTCACCTAATGCTTCCACCAGTTTTAACTGTGGAAATGTCTTAATATTTTATTTTTTATTTTGAAATATATATTACAACAAAATTTTAATTTAAGTAATACCAGAAAATTAATTTATTATTAATAATTTTATATTGTTTATTTTTAAAAATAAATTAAAAATAAAAGGAGAGGACACCTGTACGTGAAATGAGGCATTTTCTTAGGTAAATTTCTGGATACGCAAAAAAATTGAGAAATTATTTTATGTAACTTTTTTTTTTATCTTTTTAATGAAGCCTAGTTTTATATACTTTGAAATAGTTTTTTAGGTCCTGATCCTACGTTTTCTCCCTACGCACGTGTGCACTTCTACACGTGTTAATTTCACATCATTAATATCTTCACGAGTTTCTCGTAGAGTTTAACCGTTTACCGGTTTCAATTTCTTAATATTTTACTTTTTTTAAAAAAAATATATACTCTACAAACATTTAGTTTTAAGTAATAATTAAAAGAATTTATCAGTTTCAAATAAGCTACTCAGAATTAATTTAGTTCGATAGTTTTTTAATGTAAAAGTATACATGACTGGAGAAGAAGGTAAAATAAGTTACTTTACCGGGAGCTGAAATGCAGACGCAAAAAAGGCGCGTGGAAAGCGTCCCTAACAATACCCAACATTATAGGCAACGGCCCTAACTTCCTGCGCCATGCAAAAAATTCTATTCCTCACGCAACAAATCTCTCCGTTTCTCTCTCAGACCATCACAAGCTCAGAAATCAAATTCACATTCTTCTTTCTTCTCACTCATTTGATCACTTCCTTTCCATAAAAGAACCAAAGGAAGCACAACTACGACATAATTGGAAATAAGGCATAGTGCCATTGTTGGTTGCGGGAAGTTCTTGTTAAACAAACAGAAAAGAGGAAAAAAGAAGTGGAAGAAAGAGATATAATGGAGGTTCAGTTGACGGCTCCGACGGCGTCTCCTTCGCCATTGTACGTTGGGGACCTGCACCCGGACGTCACCGAAGGTCAGCTTCTTGATGCCTTCTCCGAGTTCAAGAGCTTGACCTCTGTGCGCATTTGCAGGGATTCTTCATCTGGCAGCTCTCTCTGTTATGGATATGTCAACTTCATGTCTCAACAAGAGGGTACTCTTTTGCTTTTTGATTTAAGGCTGATTAAAAAGAGTATTCTGCTCTTGCATTTCGGTTTTTTATTTCTTTCTTTTGTTTTTCATAATTGCGTATATGTTAATGAATTTGTGTATGTTTGTTTGCGGAACTATACTGTTCTTGATCGGGCGTGGGAAGACGGACTGGCATTGGGGAATCCCTAGGTTTTTTAGGATGGGATTGCTCTGTTATTCATAATGCTGGTTATCTTTTAAGGTGATTTATGTTGTTTCTGGTTCTTTTATATTGCCTCTTTAGTTCATGAGACTGCATGATAACAAAAAGACTCTGGATTCTTTTGGGATTAGGGAAGGGCAGGAGACAAGAAAAAATGTAGCGGAGTCGAAGCATTTTTGTTCTTTAGGAGCTAATTATTTGATTTGTCTTCTTTTATCAAGTATCCTGTTAGGCTGTAGCTAAAATGTAGGAGCACAAAATTGGAACTAACGATTATGATATAAGTAGAAGTTTATGATTGAGAGCCTTGTCAATGTAATTACCCACCTTCGGGCTTCGGAGTAAGCATTCCCTATGGAGAGGCCTGTAATTCCCTGTCCAGAGCCTTATCATTTGCTCGAACGGGAGTTCTTGCTTTTTTGTTAGCTTTTTCGTAGTTGACAGTAACGTTTAGAATAGTCATTGTTTCGTTTTTTCTCCGAGATCATATCTCTTAGGATATCCTGGAATCATAGGACATGAAACTACTACTAAGTCGAATTTTTGCTGCATTGATCTTCTCTTCTTCTTTGTTTGGATAATGAGAAAACCTGGGTAAAGGAGAAATACATATGTTGTATATTGGGGACTGACCTTATTCCCGAACGCCTTATTTAGTTGTTTGGAACAGCATGTTTTGCTTAGTGGAAGTTTGGAGGCAGATTGTTTGTTAGCTGAGAACTAAACAACCTTCGCACTTTTTGGTGAATGTTTCCTATCACACTTTTGTAGGTTTGTTGCTTGTCGAGGAACTTACTGAATATTATATTTGCAGTTTGAACATTTCTTCATCTTCTATTTTGTTTCCTTTACTCATTTTTTTTTTTCTTAAATTCTACTTTCTGATAATTTGCATTCTTCTGATCTGAGAAGCAATGCGTGCCATTAAGGTAAAGAATCATACACAACTGAACGGGAAAATGATCAGAGTTACGTGGTCACATCGAGATCCCAATGCAAGAAAAAGTGGAGTTGGCAATATATTTGTGAAGGTCCTTTCATATTCCTTTACCAGATGATGATAAAGACTGAGCTGCAAATATTACGTCCTCGAATTATTTTGATGTTAATTATAATTTGAAATGGGCATTTATCGCAGAACTTGAGTGAGTCAATTAATAATGCGGGGCTGCAAGATATGTTTGAAAAATTCGGGACTATTATATCTTGCAAAGTTGCTACATTTGAGGATGGGAAGAGTAAAGGGTATGGTTTTGTTCAGTTTGAGTTTGAAGATTCTGCAAATGCTGCTATTGAGAAGCTTAATGGTTCTACTATTCATGACAAGCAGTTGTAAGAACTCTAGTTTTCAATTTCTCACTAAATTATAGTTTATAGTTCATGCAGATGCTTAAATTCTGGCATTCCGCCTATTTTTTGCTCTCCGTGTATTGTTTGTTTTAAACCCTAATTATATTATTGGGAAGGTATGTCGGGAAGTTTATGAAAAAGAGTGATCGCGTTCTGCCTAGCCCGGACGCAACATATACAAACTTGTATGTGAAGAATTTGGATCCCGAAGTCACAGAAGAGCTTCTTCAGGAGAAATTTTCCGAGTTTGGGAAAATTGTTAGCCTAGTTTTAGCAAAAGATGATGATGGGGCATCGAGAGGCTTTGGCTTTGTGAATTTTGAAAGCTCAGATGATGCTAAAAGGGCACTGGAAGTGATGAATGGATCACAACTTGGTAGGAATTTCTTTTTTTTTTCTTTTTTGTCCTTGTTGACAACTAAAAGGAGCACTATCACCTCATTAATCTATCTTCTCTTGTTTTTTATCTCTTGTTTTTTTCCCTTTTGTATTTCTGTAAAATAGGATCCAAGATTCTATACGTGTCAAAGGCACAGAAGAAAGCTGAACGTGAACAAATTTTGCGTCGTAGGTTTGAAGAGAAGCGTAATGAGCAATTCTTGAAATCTAGGGTAGGCCTTTGCCTGTTAAGAGAGTTTTTGTATGATTGCTCGTTATTTTATCGTTCTTCTGACCCCTTTTTGTTTTCCTGTAACTTCAGGGCTCAAATGTATATGTAAAGAATGTTGACGACGATATCACTGATGAGGAGTTGAAGCAACGCTTCAGTCAGTGTGGTGCAATTACTTCTGCGAAACTTATGCGAGATGACAAAGGAATAAGCAAGGGGTTTGGATTTGTATGCTTCTCCACCCCCGAGGAGGCCAGTAAAGCTGTGAGCACTTTTCATGGTAAGGTTATCAGCTTGGATGAAAGGCATGAGCATTTAATGCAGTGATGGCGGAGCACTTGATAATCCTCATTCCTAATCTCGAAACTATGTACAGACTCATTAAGTAGAAGATAATATTAATCTTGGATGCATAGAGTATAAGTTCGTTTCAGCATTTTACTCTTCTACAGCTTATGTGATGAGACTTTTCTCATGAATTATGATCGCCTGACTATAGTGTTTGTTAATTCTCCCCCTACGGAAGCTGTCTTTGCAATTTTTTTTTTACTTCTAAGTGGTTTCTTATGTTCATGCTATGACATCTACTATGTCAACAGAGGAAATTGACCATGAATAGCCATAACTTAGAATAAGCTTTTCCATCACTTTTATCATTTCTCCACTTCCAGTTAGCATGCTAACAAATATAATGCATCATTTTTGAATTTATAGTACAACTAGCCGCAGTCTTTTATCAGAGCTGATAATAATGCCACAGGACACATGTTTCATCGCAAACCACTTTACGTGGCTATTGCTCAAAGGAAGGAGGAAAGACATGCTCAGTTGCAGCTGCAGTATGTACAGCGTATGGCTGGACTGGCAGCGGGAACTTCTACCACTGTTATACCCAGTGGATATCCCCCTCTTTACTATACTGCACCATCAAGTGTTCTCTCACATGTACATCCCAGGCCTGGACTGATGTACCAACCGTTTGGTTTAAGGCCTGGATGGAGGGGAAATGGCTTTGCACCTCCAACCAGACCCGCATTGCAACCATCAACCCTTCCTGTAGTAAGTCTTTTTTCAACTAAACAATCCAATAATCCTGTTTACTTTTATAAGGTGCTTCTCTTTTGTCTCTATTTTCTGATTGTGACTCATCTTGAAATGTGCTTATTCTTGGAGGAGGATATCAAACTAGCATTTTGTTATGTTTATTCTTGATCAGTACAGCTTGCTTGACATAGACAGCAAAACATTCCTTTCTACAGATGCCTAATACATCCAGACAAAACAGGCAAAACAGGGGTAGGATAAACGGCCATATGTTCCCACAGACTGGTGCTCAAACTGTTTCATACGTGCCACATATTCAACAGTCTACTCAATCATTGACTTCTTCAAAAGATTTGAACAGTCAGCAGGTTTGTTTCTCCTTCACTTCTGGCGTTCTAGCTTAATGCCTCTAATGCCGAGTGCGTAGACTTGCTTCAAGTAGGATGTTTTTACATCATCAGATGCGACATGTGGTTCTTTAGGCATTAGATTTCCTTGTTTGACACGCAAGAAGAAGTTTAGAGTGAAATGAACTTGGAGAGTCCATCTGCTATAAAAGATAAAGTTATTCATTTAAGATACGACAAGAAGTTTTAATTTATTTGCATGTTTTACGGAGGTAAGCTTGCAAAAAAGAGTGATGCCAATTTGATGCTAACATGGTCATTGTGTTTAGGTTGCAAGTTTTGCTCATAGCTAGTAACAGAGTGAAATTAAGAGAACAACTATGTTTTACGAGTTCTCTCTCAGACGCATGAAGATATATGTCCTTCACTTGTCTACCAGTTCTATTTATTTATTTCTTATTTTGCTTTTTTCATTTTTATCCGTCAAATTATTTCGTGGTTTTTAAATGCAGCGATTTGGACCAACTAAATATGTGGCGAATGGTCGTCCACGTGAGATGAGCAAAGGATCATCCACTGTTTCTAATACTGTTGGAATTATGTCACAAGGATCTGAGATGCTGAGTAGCATGCTTGCTGCTGCTCTCCCTGAGCAACAGAAACAGATACTGGGGGAGCGTCTCTATCCCCTTGTGGAAAAACGTCAGGTACTTTTTCATACAACTTTCTTAAAGAATACTTGAGATGTTTCTTTCATCCCTTACTTAACATCCAGGTGGATTTTATAGGAAATAGTAAGTCAAAAAGTTCATATGATGTCTAGTTTGCAATTGGTGGGAAATTCTGAAAGGTCACTTTTGGCACAACTCCCACTCAATTTCTAGTTTTGATCTTTTATATTGACTTTAATTACACTATATAATTCTGTATAGGCTTCAAAGTTATACATAATTTTGATGGGAGAGAATAGAGTCGTAACCTGAGTATTGAAATAAGAAGTTTATGTTAAAAATGCTTTTGGTTTGAGCTCATGTTGAGTGCATATTTGTGTGCAGCCTGACCTTGTTGCAAAGATAACAGGCATGCTTTTAGAGATGGACAACTCAGAATTGTTACTGTTATTAGAGTCACCTGATTCTTTGGCGACCAAAGTGGAGGAAGCAGTGGAGGTGCTGAAGCTCTCACAAACCAAAGTGTCCGGCCAAGATGTCCTTCATCCTAGTTATCTCTCTGCAGAGGTCACGGTCAATTAAGATCGACAATCAGCTTAGACTAGTACTCTTTGGAGGTTAGAGGATACAGCACGTTGAACTCGGATTAGTACTTTTTGGAGGTCAGAGGATACGTTGCAGCTTAAGCTACTGGGGGAAGAAAAATTTTTGATACTACAATACAATATATTTTCCCCAGCTCTTAGGATCCTCGCATTTACTTTTTCTTTAAGGTGTAGGATGTTTCTACTATGAAGTGTATTTGACGTTTCTTTTTTATAGTTGTGCAATTAATTCTTTTGGTTTATCTTTTTTAAGAGTATTTATAGTTCAAAATATTTTGAAGTTATTCAGGCCAAAAATTGGTCTAAACTAGACCGAGATTGAATTTCGTTCAAGAAACTATATTAACTTGAAATTCTAATTCCAATCAGGTTTAAAGCAAGATGATTTTGGAGAATCATCATGTAATTTTTGCCATATATAAACTCTCTTGTCTCATCAAATAGAGATAATACGTGGAAGTTGCAGAATCCCATTACTTCTTGTTCTCCATTAAACCTGTAGCTTCTACCAGTTGGGATCCTTCCCTGAAGATCAATGGAGATAAGACTACAGCTTCAACACTACCTAGGCTTCCCATTGTCATGTACTAACTATGTTTCTCCCATATATATCAGGGAATAATCAAGGTTTAAAAGCAAAATAATAACATATTACTCTGTTTTCCTTTATGTTTAAGCAAGTCTAATTCTACTCATGCCGTAATTTAATTATTGTCATTGGATTGTTGCAAGCAATAATTTTTTAAAAACTAAAGCAACTAGGGAAGAGAAGTTTATTCTGAAAAGTGCCTCTATAAAATATATTTAACCCCCCAAAAAATTTTAATTATTTAATTGAGAAATAAATAATTTTTATTTTTCAGAATAACAGTATTTTTTTTTGTAATTATTTTTCATACTAAAACAACAATTTTAAGCGCTCATAACCTATCTTATAATCTTGTTCCACCGAACATATAATTTATAAGCCTAATCTATTTTTCATTTATTAAATAATTAGCTCAAATATCAACTATCAAATATCATTAATTTCTAAACTGAATTAAATTTAATTTTATAGTTATAGATGTTATTTCTATTTCCCTGGGAGAAAAAAAGAAAAAAAAAAAACAAACTACTTTCAACGGATGGGAACGCGGGCGGCGGCTGGTACTTCTATTTCCCCAAAGCGCCCGTAGAATAAGAGCAGAGCATCACAGCAGTGAGTCTGCGAGGATTTCATTTTATTCGTCCAAAAAAACTCCCAAGAGAACCTCAATGGGCACTGACGGCAAGAGCAAGAAAGAAACCTCTTCTTCAAAGCGAGACAGAAACCGAAGCCGGAGAAGGGGAAGGTCGTCCGACTCCGAATCCGAGTCTTGCTATTCCGACTCTGACGACTCCGAATACTCCTCGCCGGAGAGGAGTTCTGGAAGACGGAAAAGGAGCAGCAAAAGCCGAAGCGGTCGCCGCAGTCGTCGACCGATCTCCAGTGAAGACGATACCGAAGATTCTGGCAGTAGCGATGGGATCGATCGTGGTCGCGGACGCAAGAAGAAGAGCTCCTCCAGGAAGATTACGGAGGAGGAAATTGCCGAATACTTAGCTAAGAAAGCTCAGAGGAAGGTTCGAATTTCGTTGTTTCTGTTTCTTTTCCTTTTCATTTTTGCTGTTTTGTTTTCGTTGTTTGCTGTTGATTCCTGTGGTTTTTTGCGATTAATTGCCGATTTGTTTTTATTGTTTTGATTGTTTAGGCTATGCGTGTTGCGAAGAAGCTGAAGGCACAGTCAGTTTCTGGCTATTCAAATGATTCGAATCCATTTGGCGATTCTAATCTAAATGAGAAGTGAGTAACATACCGGAAGAATACGGAGTAGATTTTCGAACTTTAAAATTTTCTTTTTTGCATTCTTCTGAATGACTTGTGAATTGAATTGGTACTTGTTGAATTATTAAATGGGATAGAGTTTAGAAACGATGTTAAAGTTTAAACAAAACAAATACCGAAGATTTTGAGTTCGCACAGATAAATAGTAATTTCAATTGAATTTTAAAAGTAGTTTTAGAAATTCTGGATTTATTTCAAATAAAAAGGTTCATTTGTAATGATGCCTTGAGCAATTTATTTAGAACTAATATGAAACGTAATAATTTATTTATTTCAAACAAAGCCTTTATGCGTTTCAACAGTTGCCTCGAAGCAATTTCTAGGGTTTGTTGATTTGATTTATGATTGTGTTGAAATCAACGTTTCTCCAAAAGAAGGGCCGAAATATGGAAAAATTTCCTTGATAATGACAGAGATTATGCTCCATAATCAACTGCAATTCTGATTTCAGTTGCCTTTCTACTCTCCTGGACAACTACATTATATAGTTGATTTGTTCTAATTTTTTCTAAAAGAATTGTTAATTACTGCTGATTACTGCACAATGGCAGCATTGTTTGAAAATATGAAGGCACTCTTGTTAGATTGTGGGCTTTACCTCTTGAAACTGCTGGTTTTTTTCTCTGAAAGTCTGTAGTGTAAGAACTGAGGCCAAGAGTACACAAAAAACATGTACTTGTTATCCCCTGCATTCTTATCTCTCCTGCTTGCTTAATATGGTTCCAAGCATCAGGCAACTGTATACTTTTTCTTCTCTCATAGTTGTAGTCTTAAGAATAATCTTGATCATGTCTTAGGATTTCCATTTCTAGTTATTGATATAATACTGTTCAAGTTTTGATAAAATGTGCTACCTGAAGTTGGAGAAAATATAGTAAACTGGTTTGGGAATTAACATCTGGATACATGTTGCACGAGCACTTGTGATTAGGTCAGGTGTAGCTAGTAATAAATAGAACACTGAAATAAGTTGTCAAATTCACGTTTTTAGCAGTAATGTTTATCGTGCATTGTGGTGAGAAGTTGTAATGGGTGGGAAGTTGTAATCTTGTAAAGCATCTGAATTTCTGCCAGAACTGGCGTATGAAATGCTTAAAACCCACAAGTTTCAAAGTTGTGATTTACTGATTTCTTGACTGTTTTAGAGTTGGATATATAATTGACAGGTCAAATGCATCCCTTGCAGATTTGTATGGCGAAAGAAGATTGAGCGAGATGTTTCCCAGGGTGCATCGCTTGACATGTTTTCAATTAAAGCTGAGAAAAAAAGACAGAGAGAGAGGATGGTATGCTAATCTAGGTTATGTCATTTCTAGTCATGTGTTTTTCTTTGACAAATCTATGCAGTATTTTGTTTCTTTCTTGTTTGCCTAGGGTTTTGTGGCCCCTTGAAAATTTTAAAAGGAATGAACCAGTTATCTCTTAACCAGTTTGACATATTTAGAGCAGGAAAGAGAGAATCTTTTAAGATATATTAGCTTGGATGACTGCGGAAGCCAACTGAACCTCATGAATGAAGAAAAAACAGAAGCTGTCTGCACAGTTTTTCTTTTTAATTGTTTATTTTTCTAATCAAAGAGAGGATTAGGAGTTCTAGTATTACTTAGTTTGCCAACCTGTGAAATAGTTACCTGAGAGAACAGGATTTTTTCTTTTTTTTTTTTTGATAACAAAACAACACTTTCAAACACAATACTCCAAGTATGTGACAGATTGCTCTACTGTGGATGAGATTTGGGCTTGGCAATCTTCGTTCCCCACATATATATATATATATATATATATAATACTGCCAAGAATGAGCTCTATAATTTATTCAAGAAAAGGTTGAACCCTAGAATGACAGTTATTAAAAGGTTTAAACATAACATAATTGAGTTTTTGCTTGAGACATGCGAACCATGTTTTTTTTCATATTTTTGGAGGAGATATTCAGTTATTTCCAGTGAGCTTTAGCTCAATGGAGTTGTTTTGCTGTGTCTTGTCTGTATGGGATATTCTTTATTCTGCATATTCTGGTTATCCATTGGGATTGAAAAATTTGTTGTAAAAAACACTCTTCTCTTTCATCTTTGTTCCCCATGGTTATAATTTGAAGTGTTAAAGACTAGAATTGTCTAATCCTGATATTGCAAAAGCTGAATCCTAGGATGATCATTATAACAATTTTAGACATGACTTAAGTTTTCATGAGGGGGGAAGAGAGAGACATGCCTGATAAGGTTACACAACATGGATTCAGGGTACTCAGGGTGATAAGAAAAGAAAAAACGTATTTATTTCATTCGCTTGTATATATTTTGAGATGTTTGGAAGAGTTGAGGGCTTTTGATGACATCTTTTCCTTTGAGTAGAGTTGAGGGACTTGTGGTTCTATACTCTATGTTTTTGTTTAAGTCATCCTGGTTCTTCTGAAGACGATTTGTGTACCTCACATTTGTAAAATTTCCTTCTTTTGGATATGGGCTGCACCCCCTTGGTGTCATGTTTATTAATCACTTCTGTTTTTCTCCTAAAAAAAGGTCACACAGCATCAGTTAGTAGTGGTCTCATCTTTATATTCCAGTTTTTTACTTGTAATCTTTGACTTTGTTGCTGATGGTTTTTCTTAACTAATTTCAATTGTCTAATTATTTTTGTCCTAAATACATGCATAATCAGATGCTCTCAATTATTTTCCATTCATGCCATTCTTACAGTTCCTGTCCTGAATTTAGTGCATGGCTTCTAAATCGCTCATGCAGGCAGAGATTGAAAGGTTAAGAAGAAAAGAGAAGAGAGGGCCATTGAGAAGGCACAGAGAGAGGAAGAAATGGTAGGCTTTGTTTCATGATGAAGCAAAAATTGTTAAATCTGTTGACAAAGTGGATAGAGTGTGGTTGTGATTTATTATTTTGGATGATAGTTTTCCATTCTTTTATGATTAATAGTTGGATATAATTTACCTTATTCATTCTATTTGCTCATTCAGGCGCTTTTAGCCAGAGAACGTGCTCGGGCTGAATTCCAAGACTGGGAGAAGAAAGAAGAGGAGGTATGAGGCTGGATTTGCCAACTCTCTTATTAAATTTCCCTCTTTTGTTATTTTTCTGTTAGTTTAGTAATTTCTCTTTCAATTGCAACTTGAGAGTAACTATTATGTTCAACCTACAGTTTCATTTTGATCAAAGCAAAGTCAGGTCACACATTAGGCTACGTGATGGACGTACAAAGCCTATTGATATTTTATCTAAGCACCTTGAGGGCTCTGATGATATGGATATTGAAATAAATGAACCGTACATGGTTTTCAAGGTAAATGCCACATTATGCTATATTCTTTTGGATTTAAGCTTTTTGCTGGCTTAAGTATAATGTTGGTATACGATAAGTCTCCCATATTCTTCCCTAATTTATCCTTTAATCTACTAACAACACAATGGGGTAGTGGTTAAGATTCTTAGTTCTACTTGAAGGTCACGAGTTCGAATCTCATTCAGAATATAGAACTCGCTACTTAGCGGGTGTATTATGGGTTGGCGGTGGCCGGCCTATAATGCTTGATTTAGTAGAACTGAGAATTTAATACATTAATGTGTTGGTATGGCTGCAGTGATCAAGTTGGGTTAAGTGTCAATGAGTTTATTACGTTTTTGGACTAAAAAAATATCCTATGGTGGTTATATTCTCTTAGTTGGAGTAGCTACAATGGGTTAAAAATCCGGTTTAACCTTTTTTATATATATATTAAAAAAACTTATGCTTTAATTTCCTAGATTATAGTTTCATTTGGTCCTAAATTTTGCAATAAGTTAAAACAGAAGAAAATGAATATGTCCGACTTTCTTACATATGCTATTGGCATGTATCAAATAGGGCTTGACAGTAAAAGAAACTGAAGAGCTTCGTGAGGACATCAAAATGTATCTGGATTTGGACAGGGCTACTCCTACACGTGTACAGTTTTGGGAGGTATTATCACTTTCCTGTGAAAATTCGTGTTCTAGATAGCTCTCTCTCTCTCTTCCTGGAATACGAAGCAGCAGCATTCATGTTCTTGCCATACTTGTTGTGAGACCTTTTTTTGAGATAATTTCCTCAGTCCTGCGTCAAACTATCTTTTATTGCCGGCAGTTCACATTATTCAGTTCAGATGGTTAGTTAGACTTTCTGAAAAGGCTATTTCAATTTTTACTGGCTAAGCTGCAATAGAAAGGATCTCTTGGGGCTATCTTATATTTAACATTGAATATCTGTGAGAATGTCTTGATATCTTTATTTACCAGGCACTCATGGTTGTTTGTGATTGGGAGCTAGCTGAAGCCCGGAGAAAGGATGCATTGGACCGAGCTAGGGTGCGAGGGGAGCAACCTCCTCCTGAGTTACTTGCAGAAGAAAGGGGTCTACATGCTAGTATTGAAAATGACGTTAGGAATCTCTTGGATGGGAAGACTCACAAGGAACTTGAGGCATTACAAGCCCAGATTGAATCACAGATGCGCTCTGGGACTGCAAAAGTGGTGGAATATTGGGAAGCTGTTCTTAAACGTCTCCATATATACAAAGCGAAGGTATTTAGTACCTCTTACGTTGTTTTTTATTCAAGTTTATTTTGTTGTTGTCTAGATATCTGATGCATGCTAACTCTGCTTATATATTCAAGGGCAAATAATCAATTTAGCCCCCCAAACTATCAGTTGTGTTACAATGGGTTTCCAAATTTTTTTTTGTTATAGTTTGGTCATTAAATTAAAAATGTGGTTACAGAAATAGGAGCTCTTTCTATCTTTCTCGGTAACACGAAAAATAATTTAAAAATTATAATTAATGTATTCTAATGGAAAAAAATAAAATGGTTTTACCATATTTGGATGCTTAAAAAAATTGTTCAATAGAATGACTTTGATTAATTAATTAAATTAACAAATTAATAGATTAATAATAATATTAGATTTATTTTTTTATTATTATTAATTTATTAATTTAATTAATTAACTAAAGTCAGTTTTTCTGTTAGGAAATAGAAGGAAACTAGACGCTTGAAATAAATAGAAAACATTAAAGATTAAATTGTAACAAAAAAATATTAGAGACTAAATTGTAATAAATGTCGAACTTTAAGAACTGATTTGATTATTTACCCCAAGAATAATAAATTTAGAAACTTAAGAGAATCGATTGGGTCAAATTTTAATGAAAAAAAAAATATTTGGAATCTAATTGTAAGATGGTCAATGGTTGAATGACTAAACTAGTAAACTGCTCCAATATTCAATTTTGTAATGATGAAATTGTGTTCCTATTTGTTAAAGATTGAATGACAAAACATCTTAAATTTAACATATTACTTTGTAATTAGAATGATATCTTCATTCAAATTTTTATTTGATTTATGTTATATTTTTATTACTATTCTGTAAAATTGAAATATGAACCAAACTTAATCTTAATGTTTTGCAAGATCACAATTTGATTTACAACTAACACAATGCAATCACTTGTGGATTTGAATCACAGGCTTGTTTGAAGGAAATACATGCTAAAATGTTACGGAAGCATTTGCAGCGTCTTGAGCAGCCTTCCGAGGGTGAAGATAAGTCAGAAACTCATCATGATTTAGAGCCTATAGAGGAGGAAAGCGAACAGGATGTAAAAAGTATGCTCTTTCTGTTGTTAGTATTACTATATTTTGGGTAAAATTTACATTTCTATTGTTTAATGTTGAAAATTGAATCCAAGTTGCTCTTTGACAGTTGTGAGTTAACTATAATTTCTTTGATTCTAGATGCGGAAGCATTCTCTCCAGAACCAATTTTGAGGGAAGAGACTCATGAGGCAGAAGAAGAAGCTGGATCATTTTCACCAGAACTTTTGCATGGTGATGATCTTGAAGCAGCTATTGATCCTGAGGAGGACAAGGCGATACTGGTACCTTGACCAAATACTTTGTTACTGACTAGTATTTTAGTTAAAAATTTAAATTTTATATCTTGGCTTTACCATGTACTTTTGGTCCATCAACAGGAGCGGAAACGAATGTCTGTCCTAGAAGAAAGGCGGATTCAAGAAGCTATGGCAGCAAAACCTGCTCCATCAGAAGATAACTTTGAGCTGAGAGCCACAAAAGCTATGGGGACAATGGAGGAAGGTGATGCATTGTTTGGCTCCGGTGCAGAAGTCAACTTGGATTCACAGGTAACTTCTGGTTCCCTAGCCCTCCTTTGGGTCCTCGTCCCATTTCGAAAACAATGAAGTGGTTCTATATCTCTCTTTCTCAATTAATCTTCTGAATCCATGTGGATGTAGGTGTATTGGTGGCATGACAAATATCGTCCAAGAAAACCTAAATATTTCAACCGTGTTCACACTGGCTACGAGTGGAACAAATACAATCAGACTCATTATGATCACGACAATCCGCCACCAAAAATTGTGCAAGGCTATAAATTTAACATTTTCTATCCGGACTTAGTTGATAAGACAAAGGCTCCCACATACACAATTGAGAAAGATGGGAACAGCGCTGAGACATGCATTATAAGATTCCATGCTGGACCACCTTATGAGGACATAGTAAGTAGTTCTTCTTGAAATGTTATTCCTGTTGAAATTGTTTACCATTATTACTTACATATATATCTATATATATATTGTGTCACAGGCGTTCCGAATTGTAAATAAAGAATGGGAATATTCTCATAAGAAAGGATTCAAATGCACCTTCGAGCGGGGGATACTGCATGTCTATTTCAACTTCAAACGCTACCGATACCGCAGGTGATATGTAGCTAAACATGTTCTTGGTAAGCTGTTAGTTAACTTTTTATGATGAGATTGGTAAAACATGTTCTTGTATAAAAAATACAACCCATGATTTATTCCTGATTGCATACCCAATTATAAACAAGTAGTGAAGCTCGTGACTTAGTTCTTGATTGTCATTGTTAGAATGTAAACTTTGACTCCTGCAAGTCAGAATTGTTTTATAGATAGCTTATTAGCTTTTTGGTAATCAAAAAGTAAGAAATATGCCAGAAGGGGGCCTGTGCACGATGGCTCCCCCCCACCCCACCATGGAATGTAATGGAAGACTTTTCCATTATATACAGAATATTTAGATTAAGCTATAGTAATGACTACATTATTGAGATTAAAAACATAATTAAACCCTGAATATATTAAAGTAGTCACCATGAGCAATTGTGGAAGTGGGCATGGTGCTTGCCCATCACCATCGCCATCCTCATTCCTGCTGCAACAACTCTCACCGCCACTATTAAAAGAAATATTAATAGTCTTTTGTACTACACTATATATTTGATGAATTTTACTGTAGTTATACTTTTTGTCCAATTATCTCATATAAATATTGATTATTTTACTCTTTATCTTGCTCAACCCAAGTACTGAATCTAACTGAAACTGAACATGGTTATTAAATTACTGTCATTTATAATTCTACTGAAAAAAAACTTATAATTTAATCATCAGACATAAACTCAATTGTCAATGCCTTAAAACCAAACAATAAAAAGTTAATAATGCAGTAAACGTATAGCAATGGAAGTAATTATTTCCCTTCTCTCTCTGTCTCTCTCCAACTTTTTAACTGGGATGGAATTGAGTGATTTTTCTTCTGACTAACTCCATTGTCTTATAGTGGAACTGAAACTCACATCACTCACCTCTCTTCTTTTCCTTAGAGCAGGTACATTTCATGTTCCCTGTTTCATTAACCTGGCAGCAAAACCTACTGAAAAAAAAAAAAAACTTCCTTCAAGACATTGTTTTGCGTGAATAAGTCACCACCATAGCTTAAGAGGCAAAAGCACTTATGTTTTGTTAATAAAATCAAGTACCAAAAAAAAAAAAAAAAAACCCAAGAAGCTATTTTTTGCTTTTGTCAAAAGCACCATTAGCTCAATATGTGGGAGATTTGTTTGTCAGGTGATTACTCAAGTTTGATTTTTGAGGCAGACAAACTTTTTTCAATTAGTTTTCAGTGACTTTTTTTTTTTTTTTTTATGAATTGAAAAAATAAATCAATAAAAAATGAGTATATACTAATCCAAAAATTGTTTGAAAAAAAAATCAAAATAACTTTTAAAAAAAATTCCTGCAATTTGAGTTGCTCCATACAATATTATTACTTTCATAAAATTTTAAAAATTATAATATATTTGTCTCCTCTTTTTATCTAGCCGCTGTCCCGTACCGTAAGTTGTATATTTCAACAGCACATACGAGAAGCTTACAAATAAAAATGAACATATGTGATGGCGAATTATTATTTTAATACGTGAACTATTGGTCAAGTCTTGGAAATGTTTTCATTATATTTTATTCATTAAATTTTATGAAATTATTTCAATTCATATTATATTTTTATATAACTATAGAATTTTTATATCATATGATGAATTTTCTGTTTTTTAATAGAATTTAAAAATGACAACAAATAAAAATTAATCTAGTAAAACAACAAGTTTAAACAATACAAATAATAATAACATATGTTAATGAGAAGAATAAAAAAAGATATTTGCCATAACTTTTTTTTTTTTTTTTACTTTCTTTAATTTGCAATCATAAATAAAAATATTATATTTTGTAAATTACTTTTTATCTTATTTAAATCATGCAAAAAAAATTATTTTTTGAAATAAATGTATAACTTTAAAAAAATTAAATTATAACAAAAAAATATTATTTTAAGACTAAATTAAAATATACCTCATAATATTTCAATATCAGAACAAAATCATATTCAACACATAATCTGCATTTATATCTTAATACGTGGTAATTTTTAATCAAGCAAAATGACTTCCATGATGCCATTTCTTTATATATGTACGTGTGTGTATGTGTGTGTGTGTATATATATATATGTATATAGCAGTTTCTATTGTTTTTCTTTTCTTTAATCTTTGAGATTGCAAGTGTACCAGACAAATTATTCCCAAAAGATTTGACCTGAACATATAATATAAAAATACAAGTGCTCCACCAATGCAATGCCTTTGCTTTCCTCATATGGCAACTCTAATTTCTTATATCTAATTGCCTTTCCCCAATTCTAAAAAACTTCTTTGCTTCACTCATTTTCTACAAAAGTAAAAACAATTCTCATCAAATCCCCATTCAGATTCTAAAATATCAAGAAACCTTCATTTTTTTTTAATCAATTTTTTGAGTTGCGTGTTGAGGGAGAAGAATGCAAGAACTTTTAAATATTAAAAATAGATAATTTTATACTTTTAGTTATATTTTATTAGATTATGATATATTAGATTAAAAAAATATATATTAGAACTGTCATGGATTACTTGATCAATTTGTAATTATTCTGTTTC